TGTGTGCGTGCGTGTTTTCTATGTGTCGGTATGTGTGTCCGTACACAAAATGAGATGCACGCAAACACACGTACACACGCACGTACACACACACATGCGCACGCGCACATGTACACACGCACGCGCGCACTTGCATTACATTTGCCAAGTGAAAAAAGTATGAAAAAAAATATACATAAAACCAAAAATATACAAATATTACTCTTGCTAAATTTTACACTCAGAAACACTCACGCACACATATTTATCACGTTAAACGTTATTTTTAGTGGATATCCGTGTTTGAAATAGACGCCCCGTTTTTATTTTAACGTCTTTGTTACGTCTATCGGCCTTATACTCAAGAAAATTTAATAAAGAAATTGCTCTCTCTCTCTCTCTCTCTCTCTTGAAGCAGTAAATTCTATTCAAATTAAAATAAATTTATATCTATCATATATATATATATATATATATATATATATATATATATAGGGAGAGAGAGAGAGCTATTAGTAGATCTTAGTCAAATGATGAAAGCATAGAAAAAACGTCTACACAACAAATAATTTTCAGCACCCCCTTTTTTGTCAATGCACTTAATTCAACGCTCCTCTATAGATCATACAGATCAAACATTATATAGTGAAATTTTCAGATCAACATTCTGCTGGTAACTGTGTCAGACTACGTACTTATTGATCTAGCTTCATCATAGTAATTTACTTAAAAAAAAACAAAAAAAAATGACATAAAAGAAGTTGTTTTCTTACCTTCACTGAATAAAAAGAAGTCACGATCTTTTTGTTTGTTTCCAAGGCTTTTTTTTATATATACATATATATATATATATATATATATATATATAAAAAAAAAAGAATTTTTCAAAAGTAACTTGTGCGGTGGGTTGGGTCCCGCCGAGCGATTCTCCAGTAGTGCTTTCGCAGGCACAACTGATGTTCGTCGCAAGAGACGAAGGCAAACATATAACCAGGCCGGACCGTCACACCTTTCCTTCTCTCTATCTTTATTTCACTCTTTCTTGCTCTTTTTCATTCACATCTTTATTTTTGCTTCTCGGTTGGTTTAAACTTTTACGCGCATGCGTCCAGATGTGTCTATGTGGAGTGTGTTTATTCTTACGTATGCGCGGGCGAACGCTGTACTTTTTGTTTTTTTTTTCCTTTTTTTTTTACTATTTTAATTTTTTGGGGGTCCCCTCCCCCTACACTTACATGCACTACTGTCACTTGTGTCCCGACAAACACCTGCTTTTGACGTATCTAAAACTACTGTATAAGAATTAAGTTTCTCTTTTTCTCACTTGATTTCTTAATTTTCCACTCGCTCCCTCATTCACTCATTCATTCATTCTCCCTCTCTCTCGCTCTCTCATTTTCTCATTCTTTTTATTTATTCCATTTCTTAACCTATCTTTTAAATTATTCTTCTTTTAACTTCTCTCTTTCTCGATGTCTTTGTCAATCTCTCTTTTTTCATTCACTTTATTTTCTATTCTCTTTGTTGTTCTCTTTCGCTTTCTCACTCTCACTTAATATCCCTCTCATCCGTTATTTTTGTCTTTTTCTCAGTGTCTCTCTTTCGGGTTGTCTTTGCGTATCCCATCCATCTCTTTCCAATTTTTTTACCTACCCACCTCTCTCTCTCTCTCTCTCTCTTCTCTCTCTCTTATTTGATCATTCTCTTAATTTCTCCCTTTCGTTATCTTTGTCTTTCTATCTATCTATCTATCTATCTATCTATCTATCTATCTCGTATTTGCCTATCTCTCTAATCTCTCGCATTCTGTTAATATCACTCTCTTTCTCTTTCTCTTCCACACTCTTTCACTTTTTCTCTTTATTTATAAATTTAATCATTTTTTTATTTTTTATTTTTTTATTTTTACTATATTTACCACCGAAAGGCCAAATGGAGGTGAAGAATTGTCTCATGCCATTTTTCCAAGATGGGATAGACTGCCTGACTGCCTGCCTACATAGCAACTTCAAATATTCAGCATTCTTAATCCTGACTTTTACCTGGGCGCGAAACGCGACCTTTGGTACCGATACTAAATAAGAAACTATTTCAGTCACGATGCAGGGCAACATATTTCTTCAGCTGCACATTGTCTGACACAAGGCCAGGTTAGTGAGATACCCAGTTAAGAACAATATTAATAAATCACTCCGCTAGAAAATTGGTCTGTAAAAGGAATTTGTTATTTACTTACTACGGTAGAGAGGCTCTCTTTGCAAATCGTTTTAAGTCACCAATCTATTTCTCCGCTTTCTTTTTTTCTATACTTCCCTATTTTTCTGTACTTTTCTTCCCCTCTGGTCTGTTTTCTTTTCTTTCTTTTTTTTAATTAAACACTGGTTGTGGTTTGCTGTCTTTTACGCACAGAATCCTGCTGCTGCTGTTGCTGCTGCTGCTGCAAGCCGCAACCTTTCTCTTCTCTCCCAAACAAACCCCACCATTCAGAATCAACACAAAAAAAAGGAAGGGTACTATTTAGTAATGTGTTGCAGAAAATAAAGAGGCGAATGAACGATGTAGGTAGCAATGTCTAGTGAACAAGATGATTGGGTCAGAGGCGAGGACTGGCTTTTTCGTTACTGATGAAGACAGTCTTATATCTGTGCTAAGATGAAGAGAGACAAGCAAAGTTTGTTTTCGTTACTTTACACGACATAGAGACGTTTCGTTTTATTTCTTTTCTTTCAATTTTTCTTTCTTTTTTTTTATGCATTATTTGGATCTGAAGTGAACGAGTCAATTAGTTCTTTTCAATGATTTTTTATGAAACGCCGAGAGTCATCTCTCTTCTTTTTTGTATTCATTGGGTTTTTTTTTTTACATAGAACGAACCATTCTCAAATTTCAATTAACGTATTAATTAAGAATAATACAGGGTGGGCCAAAATTAGGCTTATACTTGTTTCACTATTTGTTTCATGTTTTAGATTTAATTTATCCAAATCACAATAGTTCTTTCAGCAAAATTGAGCAGCTCCCCATTATGCTTTGGCAGCAAGGGACAACCTTTTCACAGCGTTGGTTCGAAAGAAGGAACAGCATCGAATGGCCACCGCGTTCACCTGACCTAACACTAATGGATTTCTTTTTGGAGGGTGTAGTGAAGAACAAGGTTTATGAAGGAAGTCTCCACACAGTAGAAGAATTAAAAGAGCACATCTCAGAAGTATTTATTGAAATTAATGCATATCGGGATTTGTGTCGTGCTGTGTGTCATTGTGTTCTGGAGAGGTTTGAGGAATGTTGCAATGTTTTGAGCACTTAACTCTTTGAGTCCTGCGTTCCTGAAAAATGTTAACTCTTTTCTGCCAGAGCTTCTCAGAGAAACGGTAGATGTAAAAATAGTTACAAAATAATATAAGCATTATACTTAACAGGGAGAGAGTATGATTGCATGCCTTCATTTTATCGCCAGAATTCTTTCTTTATGTCCCAGTCTACCCAAATAAGACAACCAATAGCAAAACACGACGCACGTATTTACCACCGTTCAACCAGTGGCTGGGTATTAAGCCATTTTTCTCTACCACCGGTAAAGCGGTGGTCATGGCTAAAAAGGGTTAACAGATTAAACTGCGTTAAAAAACATGTAAGTAAAGTGTTAAACAAATCTACATAAACAGTTTTCAACAAATATCATTGTAACAAATAATATAAATGTAATAAAATGCTTTTAAAAAATGTAAAGTGGATACTAAGTTTTGACCTATCCTGTATATCGACATTAATACACATATAAAGAAAAGGCTAATTCATCATTTCTGTTAAAAGTTTTTAGGTGAATAGTTGTTATTTACACGCCGACTATTATCGTTAACTATTTGTTGTTGTTGTTGTTATCACAACGTTTTGATTGTTCTTCCCGCCGGTCTTTATCAGGTGTTTGTCAACTTGGCTAACCTTCAGGGAATGTCGGACAGAACCCTTTATTTAAACTACAAAAGTTAAATGGTTCTTGTTCCATTGAACTTGTCTAAGAGTATCTCATCAGTTATTGCCTGCCCGTTTCCCATTAAATACAAGCATGCACTTGCCAGGATCAGAGATTGAACTCGCAATTACTATTCATCACCAAATTCACGAATCAAAGCTTTCATTCCCTGAGCTATTGTCCCGGGTCGACAAACATGATGACGGCCGGAGGGCACAACGAACGAAAAGTTCTGACGATAACAACAAAATGTAAATAAGGCTAATTAATGTCACTTCAAAACGTAGGCGATCATAACTCTCCACGTTTTCTTTTCTTTATATTTATAAACTAGCAGTATAACCCATCTTCGACCCGTTCTTTCATTACTGGGAATTTTTACCGTTCACTTGGAGAAGTTTAAGTTTAAAGTCAGCCCACTCGAAAATCAATATTAGTAACAACATTAGGCACATCCCCAAATGGGGGGGGGGTTAACGATTTGAATGGGGGTGGACCTGAAAAGGGCCGTTTTTGCGTTCTCAATCTTATTTCAGCCTGACGCGCAGCAGCAGTTGAAGAGGCGTTTCTCCTCAGCCGTTGAGTCCTTTGATCATCATTTTCAGCCTCGCGTGCAAAAGCGTTCAGGTATGCTCTTCTGGAAAGCCGATGGCTACGTTGATCTTCGGACTCAGTGGCTCTGATTGAAGCATTCCGTGAGGCATTTTAAGACAGGCAAACTGAAAGTTCTAAAGACCATTCGTTATCTCGTGTTCGCATGGCGGACATGGCGGCAGCGGTTTTGTGACCTAGACAAGTTCTTTTCTTTGGTGGCATGTCTTAGACAAGTATGAATTGTCAAATGAAATGCGTGGGCAAATACCTGAACGCTGTAAAGCTACAGGAATCACTAAGCTCGAATAACTTTAGGAAAGGTGGGAAAAATAAATATTAAGTAATAAAAAAGGCAAGCTTACTAATTACTACGGTGAATACAATGCAAAAACTGGCAGGACATTAAAAAAATTAAATTGGGAACGGCTATAAACGACAATGAAAGCAACGCCTTAAGACTGTAGTAGTAGGCTTTATGCAACGGAAAAGGTAACCTCACTTAAGAGAGATTGAAGCTTGGCCAAGAGAGGGGAAATGTGTAATTTGGACTCAAAACCAGCACTGAAGAATTATCTATCAAACAAAAAAAAAATCATCGAAATCGGATGAAAGCTGTGGAAATGCGTAAACAACATCCGATGACACACACACACACACACACACACACACACACACACACACACATACACACATATACATACATACATACATACATATATATATTTTGGGAATTATAGATATAGATTGTACTTTGCCATGATTGTTCATGGGAAATGTATTACATTGTTTTCTCATTTTCTTGCTTACAGTCAAGTCAAAATGAAGTTAAACACTGTTGATCACGGTCAGTACTTAGATGGGGTCTTTGTACTGTAAGCAATCTACTACAACACGAAATGTGTTTAAACTTTAAGTAATAATTAAGTAATGGCTAGCGGAGAGCCGAGTTCGAATTCCAGTCGAATCTTTTACATTCACTTACGTGCTAATACCCTTGGGGAAGGTATGAATCTTCTTCTTCTCCCCCTAGCTATGCGTAAATAGTAGGACAGACCGGGTTTTACAGCCTAGGATGGCAACCTACTGCGGGGAAAAAATCTGCCTTGTCAGTCATGTATCGAAAGATACATGATCGCCTACGTGTGTGTGATGTATGGCACATAACTGACTGACTGAATCCACAAACGGGTGATAAACCGTAAAAAACAAAACAAAACATTTTCTTCTTCACAGTAGTAAATTCAGAGATGACCTTCTCTAACATTTGTTAAGGCTAAAAGGCTCAGTTTGCCTTATGATTTTTACCATAGTAAGAAGATCTTTATGCCTTTTCCATGATCATTAGTGCTAAGTGAACACAGAATTCCAGAAGAAAAATAATATTGCGACGTTTATTTCACATCATCATCAGCTGAATGTGAACTGATGCATTTCTTTATGAAGTTATACATAAACAAATTGTAACCTAGTTTGGTGGATAGTCACAATAATAACGCACTCAGTAACGATTCAGAATACTCCCAATATTTTTCATTATGGTTTAAGCAACTATTTCTCTAAAGGAGGTCTCGTTTAAGATAAGCTTAGCCAGTCTGACATAAGGGCATGATATTGGAGCACTGGGCGAAATCATTACATAAGCAAAAACATGAGACGTTCATTTGTTAATCATCGCACTCTTTAAATACTTAGTATAAAATTAGTCGGGAGCAAGGCCAAAACAGTCGGGCGCTAAAGAAAAATCGAACTTACTAACAACCGTCTGTAATACGAGATGACTGATTTATTCTAAAGGATTCTGCGCCATGATGATTTGCATATATATAATTAAAAAAACAATGGTTGAAATACAGGATGGAATACTTAATGACAAAAAAGAGCAAGAAATCGTCAATCGTCGACCAGAATCAGTATATAAGAATCAAATATATTAAACCTCAGTAAAAGGCAAGAGAGAACGGAATTTTGCGATAAAATACTAACAATAGCAGCAAAAAATATCAAATAAAGCAAATTATATTAAAGCGAGGCTGTGCGGCTATCAGCGACTTCAAATTCCGACTACATCTGCTGTGGTCATTTTTTTTTTTCGCAATTTTCCTTGGAAAAGGGATGAAACTTGTGCACTTGTCCAGTCTACCCTGCTAATTCACCCATTAAGGAATGGGTGAAATAGCAAGGTAGACTGGACTCTCTATCTTTGTTTGGCAGTCAGTCGAGGCCCAAAACAATTCTGAATTCATAAACATATATACTGAAGACAGTAACGGGAAACCAATCCACTATATTTCTTTATGTTCTGAAGAGACATGACACTTATCAAAAAATATATTAAAGTAGAGGTAAATAAAACAGAAGTCAAGTAAACGTCCCCTGTCACTGATCCTGTGATTAATGGCTGTTAGGATATCAGCAGTGGACCGAATCGATCGAAATTCGTACTACTTGTCGCTGAAGAGGTTGTAACTATTGAAGTATTCAGCAACCTTCTTATTGATTACAGCTTCAAATGGTTTGCTTATGACACTGAAGAGGTTGATGGGTCTATATTGAGATTGGGGATGAGCGCTCGCTGTCATTCTTTAAAACAGGTTATACACTTCCTAGAGACTTAGGAAGGATTTCTCCTTCACCTCACGGTTAAATTGTTTTACTAAGACTGTTGATAACTCATGGTTAATATTCTTAAGAACAAATACTTGAGACTTCCCGTTCTGTGATAAAAATATTACTGAGATTGTTTTCTGTGAGATGAATAAGTTGGGAAGAGGATGGCCTTTGTCATCTAACATTGAGTTAGAGGCAAAGCCCTTAGCGTAGAGCTGTGTCTTATTTGGCGGATTAGATGACTCCAGAGGCCTTATTATAAATTCTGAATTTCATCTGAGATTTTCCAGAATTTCCTGGATGCAAATTTCACTCTGCATTTTCTAGAACTTTCTTGCAGTGATTAC